CGCCCGGCTATTTTTTGGTTGCAGCCGTCGTTGTCTGGCGGGTCCGGGCTGGGGATTCGAACCCGCCACCTTAGGTGTACATGGCTGGCGCCTTAGCCGGTTGAGCCACAGGCGCCGAGCCAAGAGACAGGATTTTATTTTTTTAATCCTACTAATTTAGCTGAGGTAGAGAAAGACAAAAGGATAGCAGAAACAGACACACATAGACTGGAGGACAGATAGAAAGGAGGATAAATTGCATAGAGGAGACAAAGGCAAAGAGACATTGAGAGCAAGTGAGAGAAAAGTCTTGCCAAAACATTGAGGAAGACTGTCATAGAATTGGTAAAATAGCCATAAACAAAGAAGACAAGAAAAGTAGAAATAAAAGTCAGGAGGGGATCCCAAAGGTGGAAAACACGGATAGTCCAGACAGCGAAATAGTAGGAGTGAGTGGCAAGGGCAATGACCTGGCTCAGGAGAGATAGAGGAAAAAGTGGCAGATAGAGAGATTAGCAGAGCGAGAGAAGAGAGGTGGAAATAGAGAAGGGGGATTAGTCCAGGGAGCTGAGAAGCACAGGAGCAGAACGAAGGGGAGGCAGCCTTTGGAAAGATTCACCAACAGAAAAGCAGGAAATGTGTGGAGTGAGAGACAGGCAGAAAGACAAAAGACAAACAGCTACAGTGCAAAGTACAAAGACAGAGGCTGACAGTAACTGATAGGCAGAGACTGGTAGGAAGATGAGGACAAGTCAGAATCAGGGATGTCCTTTGAGATAGAAGAATAGGCAAAGGGGCTGACAAGGGGAATCGCAGGAAGAAAAAAAGTAGGGGTGGGGAGGGCAGAACAATTAAACAAATATCCAAGGAAAGGAACAAAGAAAAGGAGAGAACACAGAGATGAAGCAAGAGAGAGAAAGAAATAATAGAGATGTGGGGAAAAAAAACTGAGACAGGGATTGTGTGAGCTTTCCATCATAGAGGCACAAAAACTGAGGTGTAAAGGGAAAAAAATAACAAATGGAGACAGTGGCAAACTGTGACAGTTGGAAAGAGATGAACACAGGTAGAAAGTAAGAGCAGAGGGTTTAAAACCTAAGCAGCAACAATACGGATCAGGCCTCCTCAAACTATGCCCGCTGGCCACATGCGGCCTGCTGAGGACATTTATCCGGCCATGTTTCTGCTGCTGCCTGTCCTGCTTAGCAGCTGACTCGTCCCGGGGCTGCAGTCTGGCGGCCCTCAAACAGTCTGAGTGACAGTGAGCTGGCCCCCTGTTTAAAAAGTTTGAGGACCCCTGGACTATGGATGCTGAGTTAGAGAAAACTAAGTAGGAGTTTGGCAGACAGTTTGTCCTTAATAGAAGTCATAGCTTCAAAACTCAACCTGCCTTTATTTTTTTCTTGGAGACAGAGTCTCCCTCTATTGCCCCAGGCTAGAGTGCCCTGGCATCAGCCTTGCTCACAGCAACCTCAAACTCCTGGGCTCAACCCATCATTTTGCCCCAGTCTCCTGACTAGCTGGAACTACAGGGGCCCACCACAATGGCCAGCTAAAATTTCTTTTCTTTTCTTTTTTTTTTTTTTTTTTTGAGACAA